GCATCTTGTATGTTCAATTTTTATTAGAATTCGAATTATATGCATCTCTAAGGATATGTCCCGAGAAAATTCGCAGACAAAGCCGTGAAAAGAATTTAGCCTGACTCGTGGCAAATTTTTGAGGCCAAATATACTCCACTGTGCGGCGATTAAAGCGTTCGGTTCCCAGAGGAAATCGAATCGAACGAGCTCCTAACGAGTCGGCCCGAGCAACCGCGGTCGTTACGTCCAATTGCTACGGCGCGATCATTAACGATGCGAATTCATCTGCTGCGACGTTTAAACGGTTCCCCTGTTTCATATGTCCGCAGGCTTGCGCTCCCAGGTACATCTGGTTCTCCGTGGCCCAATCGAGCAAGGAAGCCACCGCCGGAAATAAACGGGAACCTGTCGGCACCTGTTGGGTCGTCAGCGACAATTTCAAGGAGTCGCGGGAATTTTCGCCCTGCCGCACAAGTAAGTTTTACTCGCTGCTTTCTGCTTCTGTCTTCTTTCGAGTCACGCCGTGGGACACGTGTCCTCGGGAACACTGACGGAATTAGGGCAGTCGGAAGGGGATGATTTATGCCGCAGCGCGTTCCAGACTATTAACAGTTTAAAATTATCTGTGTAATCGTAAAGTGAGACTGATATTATTTTTCGTTCTCTCTGTAAGATTCTATAGTTCCATTTTTCTATAAAAAGTAGCGTTAGAGCGTTGTCTTTGTTGAACGGAAGGGTAAAATGTATTTTGTTTGCAATCATTTCGATTGGCATCTACGAATAACGTCCTTTTATTTAGCTTCGATACTGCATTAGTTGCAAATTATTCATGCGGGCTGCAAATGTAAAGATTTCAGGCGAAGCATTTTTCCTTAAATGAATAGGGCAAGTGCTTCAATTACTGTGCTCATTAATGTGACGTCCGAATCTATCGATAAATTAAACAGTCTGTTTTTTATCCATATCGCACTTCTTGAAACTCTTAAATGATACATTGTTGTCTTTTATACACGTACGAATTTATTCACAATTGAAATATATAAAGAACACGAAATATTTAATAAAATGGACAGAAATAATTTCGAGCGAGTTACTGTGGCCTTAAACAGATGATAAGTTAATTTCTGTGCGTTAGTTACTAAGCCTTTTTCTAATTACTGTGTGTCAAATTCTGTGCACTGATCTAGTTACTGTGTGTGTTAATTTCTGTATACTGATTTAGTTACTGTGTGTTAAATTCTGTACATTGATCTAGTTACTGCGTGTCAATTGGGCAATGAAAATAACAGATCAAATTAAAAAATTCAATATCTTTGTCTTTAATTTAATATATATATATATATATATTATTATCATATATTATATATAATAGTAATAATATAATAATAATATATATAATAATATAATACATAATAAATATATTATAATATATATATTTTTATTATATATTATTTTATATTATTATTATTAATATATATATTAATGTTTCCAAATATAATTAAAATTATTACAAGGGTACTGTAACCAGTGGGTGGCACAGTAATTGGCACACAATTTGAAACTGCAAGTTTTAGTAACGTTTATTAATTGTAAACGTTTCGAGAAGTAACTTAAAAGCGAGCTCAATTGAAAATCTTTATACCTACTAACATTTTTTGTCTACGGTAAAATTTAATTATCAATTACTTCACATTCTTAAAATTAAAGTATAGCATACTTTCTTCATTATATTTAAACACGATATAAGAACCTCTGAATATTACGATATATAGTTATAAATATGATTTGTTGCAATTTGAAGATGTATTTTTTCTTCTGTGGTTTATTTTGTAATGACGGATGTCTCTTGCAGAAATCGTCTTAATTGCATGCGTACATCATTAAGATATATAGAAAAGCTATATAACTAGAACGATCATCTTAAAAAATATGTTGAGAGAATTGCTAAGTAAAATTATAAATGACTTATAAGCATGCTCGGTTACATTTCTGCCGCAAAGGTTCGTCGCTCGCTAAACGCGGCTCTCTGAAAAATCGCCGCAGCTAATTTCTAACGATTGCACAAAGGCGGCAACAAAATCCTCGCTCCTCAAGCGTCCCCAGCCCGTTGTTTTGGCACTCGGATCGAAACCGGGTCCCCAGAATTTATAGAACACACCTCGGTCCCGTCCCCGTTCCGAAATTAGCTCGGTTTTCGGGAAAAAGGGAGAAAGAAATCGGGAAAAGATTTCTGTGGCTCCGACGACGACGACGACGACGACCATGCTACGCTCGAGTGCTATAAACAGTTGTAAACAGTTGACCGGGGATCTCGGCCGTGTTCTCTCTTCTCTTCGAGTATCGTTCTCGAGAGAGAGCGAGAGAGAGAGAGAGAGAGAGAGAGAGAGAGGAAAAGAGAGCGGGAGAGACAGAGAGAGAGAGAGAGAGAGAGGAAGAGAGAGCGGGAGAGACAGAGAAAGAGAGAGAGAAAGAAAGAAAGGAAGAGAGAAGTAAATCTCGCTCGTCCCTTCAGGAATCCCGAAGGGCAAATTTCCTCCGAGGACGACGAGGATCCGGCGAGCCGCGCCGCGACATGTGGCCGTGTCCTCAAAGTATGGCGGCCATAAATACGCCCGGTAACAGGATATTTCCTGGCGTCCATGTAGGTCCGGCCGTTTAATGACAAAAGACACGTCGATTTTCGGCGGCCCTGTGAACGGGTGCTTGTTTCACCATGATTTAGGGTGCCGCTCGGCTCGGATCACCTGTTCCGCTATCTCGATTCTGTTTTTGAGCACGGAGGCGATCTCGATGTCCGAGATTATGGTCTCGAGTCGTGCTCCTGATTTTCTGATGCTGCTCGTTTCTACGGTAGTTTGGGCCTGGATTACGGTCCTCGGGAATCCACGAGTTGTTGAGAGAAACATCGTGATATTTTTGGGCGGAGTTGAGCATTATTCGAATTGTTTCGAGTATATATTTATCTGAGATAATTATCCGAATGAATTCCTTTCAGCCGAGTACTTTATCCGAATAATTCTTTATACGTCAAAAATTATTCCATCTATTTGTTCCACTAATTCTTTATTCGTATCATTTGAAGAAGTAAAAATAAACACTTTATATTCTATTATCTTAATTTAAATAGAATGAATTCATATTCGAAGAAAATTTTACTCGGATATATTTTCATCTAGATACGTTTTTATTCGACTGAACATTTATTCGATAGCGTCGAATAAAATTTTATTCGAACAATCATTTTATTTATACCATAGATTGTCTTTTTAATAAATTATTTGTCTTAGATAAATACAAAGAATTTAGTCATATTAAATATTTAGAAGCTCTCCGCGAATTTGTGTGCTTTGAAAGAAATGTAAAACGTAAACATGTTTTAATCTTGTAAAATATTTTTGGAGTCTCAAGGTGCAAGTATAATAGTCTGATGCTCACCTGTGTTCTTTCGTACAAATATTTGTATGCGAAGACGTCAGTAAAGAATGCCGAAAAAATCGATGACCACACACTACTGTGACTCACTACGTCCATTCATAAATTCTCCACGGAAATGGTTACGCCATTGCCTTTATTCTACGTGTGTGACTAACGCAAATGTGGCGATGTTTTACACTTTGTGGTATAACTGTCAAAGGATGTTTAATTTTTGTCAAAAAGAAATTAGAATAGAGAGGATTTTATGAAACAACTAGCAATGTATTTAATAATGTATTTAAATTTAATGATATATTTAAAAAAATAAATTACACGAACATAATCTATTAATTACTCATTAATTTGTTATTACTAACAGATTGTATTGATTATGCATTAATGTATTGTTAATAACACATAATGTACTAATTACGTATTAATGTATTATTAATAACATAATATATTACTGTTTCTAAATGTATCTAATATACTTAATCATTATCTTACTCTAATAATTGGCTCACAATACAACAATTCAATATTATTAAACATCAAATTAATAATTAAACATCGATTTCGCAATTGCTATAATCGGTGTCTAGTGTTACTTGAAAAAGTTTTTAATTATTTGAAAATCGTGCTCACGAATATTTTCTAAGTAACAATAACCTTTGCTTAGCGACTAAACGTGGAACTAAAACTACATCCTTTTCTTCTCCGTGATAATGCCGTCCGAAGATAAGTTGGCTCAGAACGGAGTGCATTTTTCTGTTATCTGCTACTTATCACCAGTAGAACAGACTTACAGAGCGCAGATTTCGGAAGTTATTTATGTGTAACGCGGTATCTTGTGTCTCCCACGTCGTTCGTATGTTTGGAATTCTTTCCGGTCAATCAAGCTTTCCGACAAAAATCAATCGTCTTTTTCTGACTCACGATCAAACTATTTCCACTCAGTAACATTCTTAGCAAAAGAGATTTAACATTTTTCTCATATTATACATATGTGCCTGTCTATACAGGAACTGCAAAACGTTAGGTGCATTTGAAAATATATATTACTTGGCTATTGTTACTAATGATATGTTATTAACACAGATTGTTATTAATACAGATATTACTGACTTTCATCAATCCTTTATATTCAGCATTATATTTTCCTTATTATTTATTGCTTAAGAATCGAAGATACTTTAACGTTGCTCAAATAATATTAAATAATATAATAAAATCTGCAGCCTAGTTATAATATAATATAATATAATACAATACAGTAGTAAATAATATATTTATATAATACAAATAATATAAATAATATAAATAATATTATAACTAGGCTGCAAATTTTATGCATTTATTACAAAAATTACTATTTGCAATTTGTAACAATATAATATTTAAAAGCATGTAATAATGGCGATATATTACTTGCAATCCACTAAAATTGTTAATGAAATAATGAAATTTCAAAGTAACTCGTGTCTTTTGCAGTAAATGCAGATCATTTTTATCATAAAGATCATAAAGATTATTGAATAGTAAACATTTCAAATTTCAACTAAAGTTTAAATCATAAAGACTTTTTTCTAGTAAAAGTATGAAATTTTGTTATTAAAATATTCATGGCAAAGTATTTACGATTGTGCATACACTTTCCACTTGGTTTTGGAATGAATCGTCATAGTTTATTGTTCAACATAGAAAGGACCGTGTGCCATGCAACGTTCGAAAATCTTTCATCGCAGGGTATACGAATCGTAACACTCATTGCATCCGGTGCTCACTCACAGGCCACGCAAAAACATCCTTTTCCTGTAACGAAAGTGTGTCCCAACGAATGTCTCCCAGCATTTGGTAAAAGACGAATCCTGTGTGTGCCCGCTCGCGCAGTGCATTCCAAGCTAATGCACTTCCTGCGACGACGCGTTGGTTCCACATTTCTTTGCGAATGCCGAGTTGACATTTAAAGCGTATTTACCAACCGAAACCCAAGTAATAAATAAGCAAAACACCGCAACAATTTAGTTCCTCTTTTACCATTCGAACAGTGGACCTTTTCG